GACTTTTAGAATTATTTTCGTTTTGTTTACAGCCAAAGGTCTGCGATGAATAATTTATGATGGCTTCGTGTACAACGCTGTGCAGGCGGATGTCGTTGTTTTCCGTTTGAAGGAATAAAGAACAATGCTTTAATTGAAGACAGACATCTTCTGCAGATTTTTGTGGATCAATGCTTTTAATAAATGGTATTATAACATCTTGTGGTAAGGGATCGAAAGATATTATTGAGAAAAGTTTAAAAACATGTTTCAACAAGATGGATTCTTCGGCATTTTTTTGTACTGCTAACATAACAGTTTTCATTCCTAAGTAAGCTGGGTTTATTTTTTGAAAATTGCCATCCATGTTCTGTCGCTCTCCTTCATTCAACTTATCAAAATATTTCTCCCACGTGAATGTCGGATTTACACTTTTTACTCTACCTACGTAGGAAGCAGCATTTGCCAGGAACAACGGTTGACGATCTAATTTGTCTGATAAATCCTTTAAATATTTTTCATCATGATTTGAAATATCAGAAAAGACAGATAGAAGTTGTCGACATTCTTCATTGTTCATACCATGACTAACTGAAATGTGTTTATTTAGATTTCCATCTGGTGGTATAGCATCTGTATTTTGGACAGTTACTATAATTTGACCATTTTTCCAGCTATGATCACCAACTTGAGGTAATAATGGATAAATTTTATGAAGTTCAACCACGTTATCTACAACAATCCACCATGTTTGCCAAGATTTCAGTTGTTGCGTCAGCAATAATTGAAAATCTTTAATTTTGTCTTCGCTGCTTTTGCTTCTTTCAGAATATTTTCAATGACAGTTTTATCATTGCTTAATCGTTGATAAAGTTCAGCATAAGTTTTCAAAGAGAATCGATATCTTTTCCTTCGAGTGTCATCACAAATGTCGTATTTTTTTCCCAGTCAAACGAGTTATACATCTCTTCACAAATTTCTCCAGCTAATTGAGATTTACCACTGCCAGGATTACCAGAAATATAGTAATATGTCAGTTCATTATTGTTAGTACTGCGCAAGTTGTTGAGATCTGCTGTGATTTGATTAAGCAATTCTGTACGTTTGACCACATCGTGATTTGATTTGCAAGGAAGTACTTGAAAAGATATAAAACTGTTTCTTTGACTTTTTATTTTGATGATTTCAGTGAATGAAAATCCTAGATCTTGAAATGAGTTTTCAATATCACAAACCATTGTGTGATATTCAGTATCAGATACTTTTCCATCTTCATTATGAGCGATTTTGTTTCTTACTTTACGAATTTTATTCACAGCATCTCTAACTTTTGGATTAATTTTTGTTCCAATTGATTTGGAGTACAATATCGCTGCAAATAGCGTAGTACAATCCCACTTACTAGTGTCACCATTTTGAAAATTTGACAGAATATGTTTTTCAGGAGGTCTACTATTTGAAATTTCAACATTGAACATCTTCTGACCACTAACGTTTGTATTTTCCCATTCTCCAAGAGATTTTTTGTAATGAGTGTTCCATTCTTGGATAAATAAATCGACAAGTTTCTTTGTAACATCTGTAAGTATTTCTTGCAGGTAGAATTTATTAATTTTTTCTCTTGACTGCATCTAAGTGTCATAAAATTATTAATTTCAACATAAATTGGTTCTTTAATTAGAGTTTATAGACAACTAAAATTGTTGAAGATCAAACATAGCTACGTAATGTTACAGTTTTACTTGTACGTGTAAATGAATATCGAGGATGGCAGCTGAAAACAACGCAATTGGACATTTTAGTTTTCCTGCATTTAGGCATTTGCCTACATCTTGGTAGTGGCGTCGCCAGGATTTTGTGAGTGGGGGAGGGAGGCAGAAAATTTGTACCACGTCCGTTGCTAGTAAAATGGCCCTAAAATTGCTTCTACACTGGAAGTTTTTCAAATATTTATCACAACATGAATAGTTTCAATTTTTTAACTTCCCAGTTAAACCTTGGCGGATTTGTACATTCTTCGTGTTATAACGTTACGTAGATTGATTATTGATTTTAATGAACGTTTTCATATTATAATACTTCCAGAATTGCAATATTTTTAAGAGCCTTACTCTTAGTCATTTCTATATTTGTATTTTTGTGTCTATAAGTTTGAGTCTACGAGTATACTTGTCCACGATCTCATACAAGTTCTATGATATGGTGTAATGTGGTTCATGATATGCATCACAATATTACTTGTTCCTCCTTGCCCACTAGAGACTTGAATTATCATAGAATTATTGTTTTCTCTTTTTTTTTATTTTTAAGAAATTAAAATCTTCACCTCTCCGCTAACAATCCAGAAAGGGTAAATGCAATGCAAACTTGTCTACACATCTAATAGAATGCTTCCCTTTACAGTAAAGTTTTGTGAATTCGTAAAAGCTACATGAATGCCATGTGCTTCTTTTTCAATTTCGAATGATGCATATAAAGACTCTTATATAAAATTCAAATGTTGAGCACTTGGATGGCACAGCCAATTTTTAGGGGGACACGTGCCCCCTTCGTAGGCCCCACTTTAGCGACGCCACTGCATGTTGGAATGGAAATGGATGTACTGAGTTATATTATCACTTAGGAAGGTGTTTAATAACTTGTCTAACTGACACAAAAGGTTTGTGCAAGCAGTCTACTTGAATACAATGACTACTTAGTCAGCTGTACATTAGAAATATATATGAAGCAGAGTGTTCTATAATTTAGCCTTTGCATTTAAAAACTTCTTATTTCTTATAAAAGATCTGATTGCCTTCTAAAATTAATTGTGAAGATAACCATGAGAATTTTTCAAGAAGAATCTTTTTAATAAAAAATCATGTAAAATATAGGACATGTTATGTAGGTCATGCTTTATCAACAAAAACAAAAATTCATTCTAGTTGTGTAGAATGCAGATTGAAGCTGTCTCCAGGCGAACATTTAAAAAACAAATTAATTACACATTGTAAAACATTGTGGTAAATTCTGGTATTAACATTTTATATTATTCTCTATGTAATCGACATGCAAATTTCATGTAAATGCCATAAAATGTATAAATTAATTATTGTGTTTCTTTGCATGCATTTAAAGTTCTTTAAAACATGCCTAACACTTCAAATCTTTTGGAAAATCTAGAAAATGACAAAAAAAGCTCAAAAAATTTGTCTTACCTTTACACTAACAAAACAGTACCACGTGTCTGTTTCTTACAAAAACATTGGGTGTGGCATAGGCTTATTGGAGAGGAGGCAAAAGACCCCCAGAAGTTTGAGTGACCGTCGGGCATTTGAGCTTAACTGCATGGGGTCGTTTGTATAGGCAATTAATGAAAAGTTGAAAAAGACGTTTACTGAATTAGGTTATATTGAAGAGATGGAGCATGAAAGAAAAGACTTAAGTAAAGGACGTTAGATCACCTGCAATCAACGCACACTCCCATGCACACAGATTAAACTTAGCAATCGAGAAATCACTCTCAGGTGTTAAATCATTCCAAACAAAGTACACTTCAGTCTATTTACAAGTTTTTAAAAGAAAGCAAACAGTCACAAACCCTTTTTGGTGATGGGAATTGTAACAGCAAACAAAAGCTTACACTTCTCAATGTGAAACCAGGTGTTTGTGTCGTTATGAAGCCATCAATGCAGTTATTCAACAAATAGAGATCATTACCAAAGCGTTTTTTTAATTAACAAAACATAAGGATCCAAAAACATCACCAAAAACGAATTTTATAACTAGATTCTGCTTTGTTTTTCTAAAAATAAATTGTAAAATGTCTCAAATATACATATTTACAAGTAGCAGTATGGATGTTATCAGTGCTTGTAAACAACACACAGAACCTATTTTGCTCTTCAATGTTGTCTTAACGAATGTGTGTGGCAAATAGCGGGAAACAGAATGTTAACAGAGACACGAAATTTTCATTCACATATGCAACTGCACAAAGAATTCACCATCCTACAAGACGCCTCCAACCTTATATAATAATCATAGTATGACAGATATTGCTTATCATGCATCGAGTGAACACTTATTTTGTTGCTTTGGTGGACAAAGATATCTTGTTTATAATTGGTGACGTAGTGTTAAATGAGAGCCTAGCCATGTAAACGGCCATCAAATTCTATTTATGTACAGAGTTCTAAAACTTTTACCGGAACATTTTTCTTTCTTAGATCACGATTCTTGTCTCGACAATTGATCGAAAGACAAGTCACTTTTAACCAACAGAATTTTTCCCAAACAAATTTTACCTAAGTTTACATTTTTTCTGACTTTCCATAATGTATGAATCATTAGTGTGAATGCACACACCAACCAAACCGAACAAAAGACACATGTAACTAAGAATGATAACGACCAATTTGGCTTGAAAATCATGAATTTTGTGTCAATATTAATGAAGTTTACGTTGAAGTCAATTAAAATTTATCAAAGATAATTGTTTTCAGTTGACCATGCATAAGACGTTATGCAAGAGATTGCAATAACAAGTAAAAAATTGTTGCTCTTCTTGAAGATAATCATGTCAAAAAAATTAAAATCATTGCGCATTTATGATATGCATAACTGAAATTCTGTGATGAGTCATTATTTTGACACATCCTGTCGATTTTTCAGACCTGTTGTATGAATAACAATTGAATTGAACCATCGGAATATTTGATTAACTAAATCGTATTGCTAACGATGATGCTGGAAATCTCAGTGTTTTCCAACGTTAAATTATATAAAATTTATTTGTGATTGTTTATAAAACCCCATCAAAATCAACAAATGTTTGTCATATCAAAAATGCCTTTCAACAAAGACACAGAAACGACACAAAAATAGTGATCAAGCAAATCTGTGGCAACTAATTGTTCCATAGTTATCTAACGCGAAATTTTCGAAATATAAAGATCTAGATAATAAACTTAATACTCTCTTTTGATGTAAATATTCTGGCCTATTTTTAAAATAATATTAATGGTTGTACCTTGACATACCATCTAAATTGACCAAAGATCTTTATAATTTTGTTGAGTGTTTTTGGTTGACGATTCAGAATATGTCTAACAGAAGATTTGTAAATTGTATAAGACGTAACAAATTAATGAAAAAAGTAAAATGTTGTACACGTTTTGATAAAAGCCGCGTTAGAAAAAGTAAAATTATTGCACATAATGACGTGCATAACTAACATTCTTTAACGTGTCATTATTTTGACTCATCTTGTCAGTTTTGCAGCTTCTACATACATATAATACTTAAAAAAAACTTTTGGAATGTGTACTTTATGTTAATGTGAGAAAGGTCAGTACTTTCCAATGGTAAAATGCCCAAAATAAATTACAGTTTGTTTAAAAATTTCGTAAAAATTGACAAATGTTGTCCGTATAACACATGCGTAGATTTGAAATTATTTATATAAGTTATTTGTGACTGATTACATTAAAACAAACAATTACAGATAAACTTTGAAATCAACATACCTTAACAAATTTAGAAAGATTAAAGAAGACGCAACCAACTACATGATGTGTTTGCTTCTGCTTGATAATAAAGGAATTGGAATGTTCAATAAATGCTTGATTTTAATCACCTGCTGTTTTTATTGTAAAATATTGAAAAATAATTTGATCAGGGTTGTGAGAAGCAAGTAAAAGTTGGGGGGCTCAAGATTTTAGGGGCAGTCTTTATTTAAAGAGAGAATCTCAGAGTAATTAATCTCGAAGTCTCTAATTATGAATAATTTTGTCACATCTCAGGAATCAGAGATACTTCAAAATTGATAGCGTTTGGACTTGACAGTTCATCATGCAACGTTTTGTCATTTTGGAACTTTTGACGCAAACAAATATTTTAAATAGTCTATCTTACAACAAGTTTAACAGTTATAGACCAGAAAATAATCACGTGTACTTTCACGTGAAGAAGTGAGCTTTTTACTCCAATTAGGCGCAATTTCTAAAGATATACCTAGCAAAACGTTTTTATGTCATCGTCTGTGCTACGAATAAGATATAAAGATAGATGACTGTATAAAAGAGGAAAAAAATTCTTTTTAATAAAAGCCATGTTACATAAAATTAAAATCATTCCGCATTTATAAGACGCATAACTGAAATTCTTTGACGTGTCATAATTTTGATTCATCTTGTTGATTTTTAGCCCTGCCGTACCAATGATATTTGATAAGACTAGTGAAATTAATTGTTGGTTATAATGCAAGAAAGGTCAGTATTTTGAAATGATAAATTATTCAATGTGTTATTGGGAAAATCCCACCAAAATCAACAGATGTATCAATATAAAACATATGAAGCGCGAATTCCATCACAAAAATTACATTCCATTTTTTTATGACAAATATAGCAAAATTCTAGACATAAGAACTTATATAAAATTTATTTGTGATTGTTTATAAAACCCCATCAAAATCAACAAATGTTGTTCATATCAAAAATGCCTTTCAACAAAGACACAGAAACAACACAAAAATAGTGATCCTGCAAATCTGTAGCAAATAATTGTTCCATAGATATCTAACACGAAATTTGCGAAATGTAAACATCTAGATAATAAACTTCATACTCTCTTTCAATGTAAATATTCTGGTCCTATATTGTATAAAATGTTGTACACGTCTTGATAAAAGCCATGTTAGAAAAAGTAAAATTATTGCACATAATGTCATGCATATCTAACATTCTTTGACGTATCATTATTTTGACTCAACACGTTAATTTATTAACTTTGCTGTATTAATATAATTTAAAATAAACGATTAGAGTAAATTGGTATTGATGTGAGAAATGTCGTATTTTCCACGTGTAATGTATCCAAATTAATCTGTGTTTGAAAATCCCACCAAAATGAAGAAAATTTATCCATATAAAACATACGTGGCACTAATTTATAAGTTATGTTTAACTACAATGTTCGTGACATCAAAACAAAACAATTGATACATGGACACAAAACATTAAATCAGAAGGTTAAAATACACTGTACTCAAAAGCGAGTAAACTTTAATATTAACATACCTTCACATATTTAGAAAGATTAAAAACGACGCAACCAACTACATGATGTGTTTGCTTTTGTTTAATAATAAAGAAATTGGAATGTTCAATAAATGCTTGATTTTAATCACCTGCTGTTTTTATTGTAAAATATTGAATTCTGTTCATACCCAATAAAGTATGAAATGCAAATTTTATATTTTAGCTATGACTGAAGTAAACAGAAAGAAGTTTTGTCTTGGAAGCTTTATGCCAATAAACCTTTCACAGTTTACTATTATTTATTTCAATAATTAAACATCCTAACTTACATGGAAACTAACTGAAATAATCAAAAAGGAAGACGGGCAGCCGGGCTTTTACAAATAAGATAGCTCAAAAATTAAATATTTATAATTTAGGAAGTTTAGAAAATCGATAAACAGAGTTACTCTGAAATTGTCAGCGTTCCAACTTTGAAACGTGGTCAATGAAGTTTCTTAATTTTGTAAACTTTTGATACGGATAAACAAATAACTTGATCAGGGGCGTGAGAAGCAAGTAAAAGTTAGGGGGCTCAAGATTTTAGGGGCAGTCTCTATTTAAAAAGGGAATTTCAGAGAAATTAATCTCGAAGTCTCTAGTTTTGATTAATATTGTCACATCTCAGTAATCAAAGATACTTCAAAATTGATAGCGTTTGGACTTGACAGTTCATTATGCATAGTTTTGTCATTTTGTGAACTTTAGATGCAAACAAATATGTTAAATTGTCTATCTTACAACAAGTTGAACAATTTTAGACCAGAAAAAATCACGTGTACTATCACTTAAAAAACAGAGCTTTCACTCTACGTAAGCGCAATTTCTAAAGACATACCTAGCAAAACGTTTTTATGTCATCATCTGTGTTAGAAATAGATAAATAGATAGACGACTATATCAATGAGGAAAATAATTCTTCATAATAAAAGCTATGTTACATAAACTTAAAATCATTCCGCATTTATGATGTGCATAGCTGAAATTCTGTGACGTGTCATGATTTTGACACATCCTGTTGATTTTTCAGACCTGTTCTATAAATAATATTTGAAATGAACTATCGGAATATTTGATTAATTACTTCGTATTGCTAGCGATGATGCTGGAAAGTTCAGTGTTTTCGAACGTTAAATTATCTAAAGTTTATTTTTGATTGTGTAACAAACCTCATCAATATCAACAAATGTTATTCATATCAAAAATGCCTTTCAACAAAGAAACATAAAGAGCACAAAAATAGTTATCATGCAAATCTGTAACAACTAATTGTTCCATAGATATCTAACGCGAAATTTGCGAAATGTAAACATCTAGATAATAAACTTCATACTCTCTTTCAATGTAAATATTCTGGTCCTATATTGTATAAAATGTTGTACACGTCTTGATAAAAGCCATGTTAGAAAAAGTAAAATTATTGCACTTAGTGTCATGCATATCTAACATTCTTTGACGTGTCATTATTTTGACTCAACACGTTAATTTATTAACTTTGTTGTATTAATATAATTTGAAATAAACGATTAGAGTAAATTGGTATTAATGTGAGAAAAGTCATATTTTCCACGTGTAATGTATCCAAAATTTATCTGTGTTTGAAAATCCCACCAAAATGAAGAAAATTTATCCATATAAAACATACGTGGCGCTAATTTATAAGTTATATTTAACTACAATATTCGTGACATTAAAACAAAGCAATTGATACATGGACACAAAACATTAAATCAGAAGGTTAAAATACACTGTTACATAAAGGCGAATAAGTTTTAATATTAACATACCTTTAAAAATTCAGAAAGATTAAAAACGACGCAACCAACTACATGATGTGTTTGCTTTTGCTTGATAATAAAGAAATTGGAATGTTCAATAAATGCTTGATTTTAATCACCTGCTGTTTTTATTGTAAAATATTGAATTCTGGTCATACCCAATAGAATATGAAATGCAAATTTTTTATTTTAGCTATGACTGAAGTAAACACAAAGAAGTTTTAACTTGGAAGCTTTATGCCAATAAACCTTTCCCAGTTTACTATTATTTATTTCAATTATTGAACATCGACTTACATGCAAACTGACTGAAATAATCATAATGGAAGACGGGGCAGCTAACTTTTTACAAGTGAGATAGCTCAAAAATTAAAGATATATAATTCAAGAAGTTAAGCGAATCCATAAACAGAGCTTCTCTTAAATTGTCCTTGTTCCAACTTTGAAACGTGTTTAATGAAGTTTTTTCATTTTGTAAACTTTTGATCCGGATAAACAAATAATCTAATTAGGGGGAGGGAAGCAAGTAAAAGTTGGGGAGCTCAAGATTTTAGGGGCAGTCTTTATTTAAAAATTGAATTTCATAGTAATTAATCTCGAAGTCTCTAATTTTGAATATTTTTGTCACATCTCAGTAATCAGAGATACTTCATAATTAATAGCGTTTGGATTTGATAGTTAATCATGCAAAGTTTTGTCATTTTGTGAGCTTTTGACGCAAACAAATATTTTAAACAGTCTATCTTACAACAAATTGAACAATTATAGACCAGACAAAAAGTGAGCTTTTCACTCCATTTAGGCGCAATTTCTAAAGACATACCTAGCAAAACGATTTTATGTCATCATCTGTGTTAGCAATAAGATAAATAGATATATGACTATAAGAATGAGGAAAAAATTTCTTCGTGATAAAAGCCGTGTTAGATAAAATTAAAATTATTGCACATAATGAATGCATAACTGAAATTCTGTGACGTGTCATAACTTTGATTTATCTTGTTGATTTTTAGCTCTGCCGTAACAATGATATTTGAAAAGACTAATAAAATTAATTGCAGGTGATAATGCAAGAAAGGTCAGTATTTGGAAATGATAAGTTATTCAATGTGTTATTGGGAAAATCCCACCCAAAATCAACAGACGTATCAATATAAAACATATGAAGTGCGAATTCCATCACGAAAATGACATTCAGGTTTTTTATGACAAATCTAGCAAAATTCTGGACATAAGAACAAACAATGACACTCTGATAAGTAAACTTTTTAATCAACATACCTTAACAAATTTAGAAATATTAAAGAAGAGGCAACCATCTACATGATGTGTTTGCTTTTTCTTGATAACAAAGAAATTGGAATGTTCACTAAATGCTAAATTTTAATCAATTGCTGTTTTTATTGTAAAATATTGAATTCTGTTTATAACAGCGAGACGATAAAATGAGATGAGCAAATTTTATATTTTAGCTATATTGAAATATATACGACAGGGATTGATTTAGAAATTTTATTGCAAATTCAATTTCAGTTCAACTCAATCAACACAAATGTTGTACACATTTAACTATTATTAATTTTCAGTATTGACATGGCTGTAAGGGACCAAAAACATTAGGATGCGGACATTATTTTGCTCGACGAAAGCGGAAATCTTTTACATGCAGTGTCGTAGTTAGACATAAAGAAAGACATGAACTTCTGGGGAGCATATTTTCTTACGCCAAACGCGCGAGCCTTTCTATGCGAGGTCTATAAATTCATGCTCACAATAAGAAAATTTCTAAATCAGGAGTCCGTCAATAACGATTTCTAGTGTTTCTGGAGTATGATTTTCCATATTTGCTCAGCGCATCTACAAGCTCTGAATTTGGTGCTTGTAGATGCGCTGAGCAAATTTTCAATTATGTATTTTTGACATACGTTTTATCTTCTTAAGCTTGTTTTGACAAATGCATATCAAACTCATCAACAATTTGTTATGGCACTTGTAATATCCGCGACAACGTTAGGAAGATTTTTATTTTTCTCTATAACTTTCTATTTGCTTATTGCATGTCATATCCAAGCTTTCCTTTCATTTAATGGAAAATGGTTTTTATTCTCTCTTACACCTTCTGCCTTTATACTTAGTCGTTCTGTATTTTCAAAATAAGATTTAAAAATGCCCCAACAAAAATCTCCTAACCATTTTATTACCACTATTCTACATAAACAGTACTGCTGTCCGAATTGATTGTCCGAATTTTGTAGTTTGATCTCTTTTTTTGACTTGTGTGTTTACGGTCGGAAAAATGGATTGTATTCGAGACAAAATCGTCGGTAAAATTATATTAAGACAAGAATAACAACAAAACTACACGAGCTGTCAGTGTCGGCCAAAAAATACCAACACAGTTGTATATTTTAGTTTTGTTCATATGGAAGTTAACATCCATGACAGTATAGGTATGACGATAAGTTTCATATTCTTCACAAAACTTTTTAACAAAATGTTGAAGCTGAAATTTATAATTATCTTAAAAAAATGTTTGATTTTTAGATGAAAATAATCAAAACATGTAATGATGATAAAACAATGACGTAAGATTTGTGATCACGTGCTTAACACTTACTCTTATAAGAGGGTCAAAAGTGCGTCATTTATATTCGCTTGATTTCAAAAATCTTGCAAGATCATCCATGAGTAAAATCATGGCAAAAACTTAAAATAATGTTGTAAGATCTTGACAAGATCTTGCTTACAATCTTGCAAGATCTTGCAGGAGTAAAATCTTGTCAAGAGCTTCAAAAGATCTTATAAATAGCGTTTAAGGATTACATTTGGTGTTATTAGTGCAAGTGTTTTTGGCTATTTAGTTCTTCGAATATCTGCGTTCATTATATGCTGTGGTGAGAATTCGGTAGAAAGAATTTTCGATGTCGAGGCTGTAGAAAAATGGCGAAATCGTGAATGAAATGAGACAAGAAGATGAAGAAAGTTACCAACAAGTTGAAAGTTGTGTTGAAGTAGAACAAACAAAGTATAGTGGATTCAGAAGATTTTCTCCTTTGAAATTTATCAAATAAAAAGTTTGAGAAGGAAAGACAAGGATTGTATAAACATACCTTGATTCTAGTAGATTGATTGTTCACTAAAACTTTTTTGTTGCAATACATAATCTAGCTCTTCTAACAGTAACAGAAAGTTTTATAGAATACTTTTCCACGTACTAATCTGACCCTAACCTTTTTCTTAATCATAACCTGGCCTGATTATTGTTGCCAGTCTTTGTAACAGTGTATTCTATGATTGTGCGAATGTCACACAACAATAAAATAATTCTGATATAAATCTTTAGTAAAAATATTGCATGGACTAGATAAATCAGTGCTATTACTTTATAAAATCATTGTCTCTACATAAATAATTATGAAAACACAAATTTAAATTTGTGTTTTTACTCATGCAACGGTGTAGTATAAAATGATTGAAATCCATTTTGTGATCCATGATTATTCTCATCATTTATAAAAACCAGTACTGCACGTGTTCTTGGATTGAAAAAGTTAGCCTAGAATTAGTCTAAGTACAATTCTCCCAGCCAGACTTCTCCGATAGATATTTAAAAAAGTACTAAGCATAGTATTGAGTTACTGAGCCCTGTTGATCGATTGCCTTCCTTCGAACTTTTGATGTTGCAAACTCCTAAAAAATATGAATACACGAAGAAATATTGTTCTCATACATGAACTTTGAAAAATTTAGTAAATGGAAGCCCTGAAATTTCTTTTTTAAGCTGCATCAGTCGGATGGTTGTATTTGTGGTTGTATATGCCATTTTACGGCAGCGAAACATACCACATTTGGAAGAACGTCCATGTTTTTGATAATAGAGTATAACCACACACAGCCCCATATATCCCCATATGTCCAGAATCCACACATATCACCGGCATTTGGTGTCGTCTCTCCCCTCCCTAGAGGATATTTTTTTTTATCCTTTACATACTCTTTTTATCCGTCCTGCCCACTGGTGAGTAATTTTCTGTTGAAGTAAAACTCACTCGAGTTTAAAAATGTTAACGTTCTTTAATTTATGTCATTACTAAAATTATTATTTCGATTGGCTCCTTAGGAGCATGTCATCTTTGACAAAGACAACAAGTAACCTTAAATGCGATTTTAAGGCCTGTTTAAAACATCGCATTTGACATGTGCCCAATGCATTTAAAACAAAAGATAATGAGATAAAATTCCTTATTATCATTTGTCTTAAATAAATTCGGCACGTGTAAAATGCAATGTTTGAAACAGGCCTTAAAAATGCACTGAAGGATTACTTGTTGTCTTTCTGAAAGGTGACATATTCCTAAGGAGCCAATCACAATAATAATTTTAGTTATGACGTCAATAAACTAACGTTAACATGTTTAAATTCATGTGTTTTACTTCAAAAGAAAATTAATCACTTTAACGTTGTTAGAAGAAAGATAAATTCTGTCTGTTTGCTGACGAATACTGAAGTATGAGTTACATGGAATAATGAACTGGTCTTAGTGTAGGCCTCGTAATCTGAAAGCTTTCACTGTAAAATGCTTTCATCACGATTATAAGCCTTTGATCGTGCGAAAATTGTTACATCGTTCAAACTCAACTCACTAAAGCTATTCGTGCAATGAAGGTGAATGTTCTACCGTTTAAATAGTCAAACAGAAAACATATAACAATTTGCTCATTCTCAATATATCTGATTAAGAATTTCAAACGGAAACTAACAGGGGCGGATCTAGAGTATGTCAAATCCGTCGCCCGACTGAAGTTTGAAATTCAAAAATTACCTATTCATATTAATTAAAAATTCATTAAATATTCTTACTTTCTTATCGCATTTACTTCGTGATAAAATCCCGCATTATTTATTATTGAAAACTAACGACTAATCCAATGAATATCTCGTTGGTAACCAGATCAGTTGAATTTTAATTGACCTGGAATAACCGACTGATAAGCGGGGTGACTTGACTGGTTCGACGGATAAAGGAGTCTATGAACGTCAAAAACGCTTATTTTATTGGTCAATAGCCAGATCAGTGGACAGTCGGGAATGTTCTCGACTGATAATAAG